TACAACACATTGCAAACCCCGTGAAAGAATAATTTATCCGGGACACTTTCGAAGAACGTGTCATCAGTCGTCACTTTCAGCAATTTTGGCTTGCAAGATCTCCTGACCTCGCCCCAGCAGACTTCTGATTTTGGGGTTACCTCAAGAGCCGTGTTTACCGCAACGGCCTCACCACATGCCATGAGTTGAAGGAGAGCATAAGGCAGGAAGTTCGCTCTATACCCCTTGATGAGCTTCGAGCAACAGTTTGGAATGTTGTGTCACGATTGGAGTTAAAGACCATCACAAAAGGAAAGCACAACGAGCAGCTATTATAAAAACGTATGCCATTTGTGGACCATAAGTACCATCTAGTGTGACTGTAATGCCATCATAAACCATAAGAGTAGTACTACTACCTGAATACAAGGTTAACTGTTCACTAATAACCAGGACATGACTTGGATTTCTAGTGCTTCAGTACAATTGCTTAAAAACTCGAACCGGTAGCGTTGCATTCTTTTAGTATATCTTTTAGTTTACATAAATTGCGTTTTTGAATAATTTCTTGACACTTGTATCCAAAGAGAAACGAAAGGGATTGCCTGTAGTTCATGACGTTAAGACGTTGAGACACTTGTGAGATAGGCAAAGGTTAAAATGGCACGGATTTTGTCTTCCTAATTACCTGCAGAATTTCTCTATGTCATTAACAGCACTTGAGAATATTCGCGATCACATGAGATTAACAAGAAAACTCATGGAATAACACGAGATTCTGGCATTTTCTTTTAGATCTCATGTTACTCAATTAGACCTTACGAGACCTCGTGCAAGCTTTTTGAGTTCTCATGCAAGAGCTTGCAAAAATGGGTTGAGATTTCATGAGGTGGCACAAGAACTTCAAGAGAATCTCATCAGGTTTTCTTCGCACAGATGCTCCTCTCTCTAAACCACTATATTAGCTTCCTTTCTCTTCATCCAACAGTGGACAAAAAGTGGCAGATACCACATTCACGTCGAAAATTTTGAAGAAAGAAACAGTTTATACCTTCCTCTTGTTTCTGACCTATTTTCTCCTCTGGAAGGAGAGAATTTTACGTCATGATAATCACACTCTAAAATTGTAATTCATGCAATATCTCCATTAAAGTATATTGCAGAAGTGGAAGTGCCATGAACGCTTTAACGAGCGGCTGATTAATAATGCAATCCTGTGGGATTTTGTATTTTGATAGGGAGTATAATACGAAGTTCGTTGGTTTTGCACGAAGGGAAAATGAAAAGTTGGCAAAATCAGTCTTACTGAGATCATAAAAGATTCAATCAGTAGATCATGCGTCCCTTCTGCAGTCATTGCATTTGTGAAGCATTTTCTGGAAACAAAAAATGCCCCGTTCGCACCTTTCCTCCAGTGCTTTAAGATAAATTAGTTGGCTTACTACACTGGTTCTGCCAAAATGTACTATTTCCTAAAATATGACGCTCCCTCTACTTTTTTGAATGACAGAACGGCGATGACATTGAAAGTAATTATTAGTTGCATTGCAGAGAAGAGAAGAGCAGTATATCTACGCACGAATTGATCGCAATTATCGCATGATTGTTAACAGGAAGGCAAGGAGAACTTGGGGAAGAATGTGACTCGAACATGGGCAACAAAGCCTGCATTGATTCCTACGCCGAGTGTGTCTCTCAAGGCGACGTGCCACGGTGCTGGTGCAGATTTGGATACGTGGAAGAAAATGGGAAATGTAGTGAGTTGCTTTACTTCATGTGTTACTTTTACTGTACCCGCGAGAATTGAGAATCTCTTGGGTGATATATCCTAGCAGTACTCTCAATTTAATGAGAGAATGGCAATGTATGAATTGTACTGGGTCAACTATTCATTAATTTTTTAATTTTGGACGCCGCTCATCCGAATTTAATCATCATTCCTCGCCCTTAAGCTCGGCATCCGGATTCTACGTGTGGTTCGCAGACATCACATGAGGCCTGCCGATTGGTCCTCGTAAGTGCGTGCAGAATGCGTCAAGTAACGATGTAGTCACTGCCCCGCGCCATGATGGGCTTTAAGCCTTTCGGACCTGAATTAGGGTCACTATCGAAATAATATCCTTTTTTGCATTTTTTAGCTTTTTCGTGATTGTAATAGAAATTTTCATGATGTATATGTAATCTTCATATTTTGCATAAATTTACTATATCATACCATTTGCTATATAATATAGATGTAATTGATTAACTGAAGATTACAAAACTAATGGGAGAAGGAAGGCCTCTGATAGACATGAGCTATGCATAATTGAGCCCATTGTAGCGTAATATGGAGCGCGAAGTCACGAGAATCCCAAGAAATTGCCATAGACGCAATGTAAATGCAATGTCCATTGGAATGGACGGCTGGTCTGAAAGGGTTAAGGCTTCTTGTGGGAAACGAAAAAGGGAACAATGCGCGAATTGGCCGAAGAGATGTCATGATGCTTACTTCGGACTCTTCGAACGTAACTAATCTCTTCTAAGTGCTCCTGAAAATAATTAGGAGTAGTACGATAAAAACAGCTCAAACTGGTTTGTCTTCCGGAAAAAGAGGCGGCTTTAAAGTCTCACATTACTTTCTAAGAAGAATTTTTTTAAAGACAATTTTCTCATCCCAGAGTCATTCCAATAACCTCTCAAGAATCGCATCCAGTTTTAAAGAGGTTAAACAAAGGCCCCATATCCTTTCCTTTTGAAGGAAAGGATATGTGAAGAAGGAAACGAAAACGCACTCGAAAAAGTATCCATTAGGGTACATATTTGGCAATCTTCAACAAAGGAAGATCACATATTCTTGCCGGCAAAGTATGTTATCCGCTAGTTATCATGACAGAATTTCCCCAAAACCCATCCAACATTATCATAGACTCAATAAATTAGTGCCGAGACATTATGTAAAAAAAAAACCTTTTAAGCATTGGAGTCGTTCTCATTTCATTCCCTCCCGCATACAGTTTTACAGTTTGTTTTTCATTTCTCTTACAATTTGAGAGAGCAATTTTTCGTACGAGAAAAATTTCTATACAAGGTTGTCAGGGCTGTCGCGACTTGAAGCAAATTGTTTGATATATAATAATGATAAAACTATTTCCAAATAATACTTCCTTGATTTGAAAAATGTTTTTATTTCTTCCACAGAAAAGAGGGAGTCCGACATCTTGGAAAACTTATGGGACCAGGTGAGTTCTTAGGCAATCCGAGAGAAAAATGAAAAGTTTCTTGTTTGGGTTTCGCGAAGATTGAGATTAATGTTCTGATCGTTAATTTCGCAGGCCTAGGCATAACCCACTAATGGACGCTTAGGTTACTATCACTCTCAAAGAAAGAGTTTTCTTCTCTCAAAGAAGCGGGAAGGAAAACAAATAGTTCTTGCATTGCATACCACATACAAAAATGAACTTTGAAGTTACGTGCCCTAAGGGGATTGAATTAGCAGGTCTATATCTCACCCTCGGACAGACGCTTAGGCTCCACAACAATCTTAACCCTTTGCGGCCCTATGTCAGACCCTCTCCGACATCGCTTACACTGCCGCCTTAATCTTTCACTGGCATGTTTTCAGAATGTTTCAGTATGTTACTCTGGAGGCAGGTTTTTTCAGTGTGAATATTTGAAACTATGGCTATGGTCGCGCCTTCGGCGCTCCATTATCTAGGATAATGATTAGACATTAATTCACTTTCGAAGTGGCAAAAACTTACTATGATTGTTATCGAAATCATTACTCCGTTGACTTCTTGTGTGCCTAACGTCAAATATCTTTATGTGCCCCTTTTTGTCAGAGCTGAGAATAAATTTTGAAATACTTCCTTTGCATTATCCGTCCTGAGATGAAATATTTCAAAAGCAAGATTTTTTCATTGCTCAGCTATCCATCAGGTGCTTCTGCGCCAAGTTTCAACTTTCTATCTCTCTCTGTTTCGTTGGATCAAAAAATATTCGGGAAAATGCGCCTTTTCCAAAGAAAAAGGTGCCTTTAGGGGTTTTACCCAATAAATACAATTTTAATTATATCAGTACTCGGGGGTACTATATACCCACCAAGTTTTTACCTAATACGTTTGCCCTTTTCCCTGGTGAGAAAATATATATATGACCGAGAATCTTGCTGCCTTAGCCTGAAGCCTTTTATCCTGTGCCTTTCTAGGTCATAGGCTGGGTGAAAGTGCAGAGGTTCATGCGTATTGGTACGCTCACAGATGCGAATGAGTTGAGTAAATTTTTCTAGCAGGGAAACGGGAAGGAATACTTAACCTCGACAATGTGATGTGGAGTGGCTATGCCCGATCCATTTTCAGACGCTTAGGACAATGCCATTTTTACGTGCACACTTCCAAGGAATGGGAACGTGAATAACTATGGGGTGCATTTACGGAATTACGTATTTTCTTATAGACAACTGCATGTAACTCTAGGAAAAGTCTGAAAATGAAAATTTCGTAGAGTTCTTTTGCCCAAATATATACGGGTGTATACATGCCAGGAATCATAGGGTTCTGTCGCGTAGCCTATGACCCGGAAAGGCATAGTCTCGTGGACTTCGCGAGATGGCTAAACGCACAGGCCTACAGGGCTATGCCTCTATGGGTCATAGGCTAGGCCATAGAACCCTATGATTCCTGAAATATTATTCATCCTGTATAGGAAAATAACGACTAAATTTGTCATGCAATCCATCTGAAGTAATTCGTTAAAGTACTAAAGTAATTCTATTATGTGTCTGGTAATATATATGTTAGATGTTGTAGATATAAAGAGTGTGTCGACCATAGAATGAATAAAATTCGCTACTAGCGGCCTTTGGCCGCAATTGCGGCTTTCTACTCAAGAACCTAAGCTGCTTTGTCGCAGCTCATCAAAAAAGAACTCTCTTGGCCTGATTCCAGCAGCCAAAATTTGAACTACAATTCACGTTGGAACAGATATGTATAATTTAAAAAGTACGAGGCACAGCATACTACACCTGCCATTTCCTATTTTAAAAAAATACGTGGTTTGACATGTGAAAAGTAGGCAAATATTGTAAGAACCAAGAATGATGAAGAAACGCTGTACGCATGGGATTGAAAAGTGGTGTTTATTTCATGTTAAATAAAAAAGAGTACTAACTATTAATGAAGTTGACCATCCGAGAAGCACTTCCTAATCCACGTTGTCGGAAATGATGCCAGCATCAATTTTTCTTGCTTCTGTCACTCCAAAACCTGAATCTTCAACGAACTCTCAGAGCAAGCTCACGAACGGGCAATATGCAATTGCCCGTGTGTGAATACATGCTGCGAGAGAAGTAGTCCGACTCGCTCAAATGTTTATCTTGAGACTTGCTCATAATTGATCCCTGAGACTTGTCATACCATGGACAGGGACGATAGGGAATCGACGTCGACAGAGATCGAACGGTGTGGTGACGTCGGATGACATGTCCACATGGAGACATGCATGATTGACAGCAAATGAACGCTGCCGCGAAACGCATCCATGATCACCTCGACTTATTCGGCATTTGCGTTCGTATCTCTCACGATCATGTGTGACGTTGCAAAGGCTGTTCCCAATTAAATGATTTTGCAGATGCCTCCGATTGTAATGTTAAAGGCGTGGGGAGGGAGACCCGGCTGATTGAGAGTGTTGAATTCAACCGGAAATTGACCTGCTGATCGTCATCATCAATATGATCGTTCTTAAAATTGTCGATACTGCGATAATTTCGCATTTCGCCTTGCAATTGGTATGATACTTCCTCATGGACCAAACGGGAGTGGTCATTCTTGAGAAACAGAGTGGCGCACTTGCTGCTCACATCAACACTCCAAACCCTATGCCGTCGGCGAAATGGGTCATTCACTGAATTATCGGAGAAACAATCGTCTGGTAAACGCACGAAAAGCCAAGGTCGACCGCAGTGTATTCTAGGAATTGTTCCGCGGCCCACATCGAGCTATCATTGAGCAAAATAAATTTCGTTTGCAAAAGCATGGATGTTTTCTGGCAGACGAATCGTCCAGGACGATGGCCACACCAGGCTCATTTTGATGCAAGTCTTTGCGATTTGAGCGCGAGATACTTTGCGGGCAACTGGCAACGCTTGGCGAAACTCACCTCCAAGCATATTTACTTTGCCACCAAATCGGTCATCGTCCATTGAATCTTGCAACTCCCTTTTGATCGTTGCCAGCGCTTCATCCCAAATGATGACATTTGTAGCTCGAATCATCGGCTGATTTTTTTCGCGACAAGCGACATTTTTTATGCTTGAGCAGATCAAATAGAAAGTCAAAGGCCGTGAGACATACCATACCACCAGTTCGTAGAATTGCAATACCAGTCCACGCAGCACTCATTAACATTCAGTCCTCTTCTACTCAATATGGGAGTGAGCGTGGCGTACAGGAATGGTTTACCAGTGCCACCTGGTCCATCGATGAAGAATCAGCAGTGTAGGATAAACACCTCAGTTTTTGGCCGCGCTGATACGACTCCCGTAAGAAGTGGTCACCCTGTGCGCACGCCGGAAAGCACTAGCAATCGGTCCTCGTACGGGAAGATGTTGATAGAATGTTTATAAACGCCCAGATGAACTAATTATGCTGGATTTAAGTATCACGGGCCAACAACTGGAGACCGGCCAGAAACTGGGGTGCTTTCCATACTCCCCGTTACGAATTTTCATGCGCCGCTGCATGTGAATCGCTCCATCCGCATCGTAAACGTGGAACTGAGCATACGCTATTTCCTCATTTTTCTTTAGCGGAGGAACGACATCATGAAAAGTTTGTATTATACATTGGTCGTAGTCAGGTGGCCTTGCCGGATATTTTAAAGCAGTGTGGTTGTTAACGGGAATGTCAAGATGCTTGCATTGAAGGAAATAAACGCCTATTTGTTGTTGTACTGCCTGTTATAAGCTCGTGAATTTTGTGAGGCCTTGCATCTTCTCGTATCAGCAGCGTTTTGAACTCTGGCGGATACTCCAATGGGTGTGAGTGGAACACATTACCATTACTATAACAATTGTGTCGAAGTTTGTTTTCTCCGCTTCAAAATGAACAGCCCAGCAGTGTTCAACAGATAATTCCACAATTACAGTACGGAGTTTTGGTTACCCATTCTTAGGAGGAAGGCTGACGTCACTGGTGACGTCACCAGCAGTTTTAAAACGCGAGGGAGACGTCAAAGATGTGGAGGGGCTCTTCCAGCCGTCCCACCAGGAACGTGATGGCGACGCAAAACCTACCAATCAGGAATGACTTGATAGTCGCATGAGCTTCGGTACAGCGCGTGATTCGTTCAAGTCGTCATCCAGGAAGGAAAGCTACTATTGATGGTGAAGCAGCTGAAATTCAAGATACAGTATGCTCAGGCTAGGTTTCTAGACAATCGTCTCGCGTCTGCAGCAACGGTTTCCCGGTCAATGGAAATATACGTTTTGCTCGAGATGGGTTTCTGGAGATGGGTTTCATGTCTTACATCCACAACTTCGTTTTCTAGCCAGATATCCCCCAGGACAGCGAATGACATGTCTTCTTCGCCATCGGATGAGTATAATGCAATAATGAACTTCGGTTTCTTCGGGGGATGGGGGGTTGGTTGAAAAAAAGTAAACCATTGAAAATTTGATTGCACATTACTATTTAATGCATTCCCTAGTTTGTTCATCCTGAAGACTGGGTGATAAAATTGCAATCTGACATTGAAAAGTCACTCAATATAAAGCCTCTTAACTACATGATATAATGTTTTATGATGCAGTTCGATTAACACTTGAGCAGACGGTTTTAGTCTACTGGTAGAGGCACAACCACTTTCAATGGTAGGAAAGGAAAGCTCCCATTTGAGACACAAAACTGGTTGCAACAATAATACGTGAGGATGGAAAGTTACAAAACCACCCAAGGAGCATGTGAGAAGATATAAGCATTCTCTCTTGACAATATTAGCTACGTCTACGAACTTTTTGCGTGGCCCACGTAAAGTGCATTTAGCTAACAGACTCCCTAAATCAGTTGGACCCTGTCCCAAATGAGATCAACAGGGTTTTAATGGTGATAGAAAAACTAAGACCAAAACTAAACTATTTTTCACATGTCGCAACATATATATATCTGCTTTATCTAAGTTTTTGCGAGTTTCACTCAGCTACTCCTGATCAAAGCTTCAACATTCGGAGCGAAAAAAGGAAATAGTCCTACTCACAAACCCTCCTATTTTCGATATTAAATGAGAAACTCCCTGATTTTACAGGTGCAGCGTGAATAGCACTCGAAGGTGATATATTGTCCATAGAATAGCATATAAAGGTTCCATATGAATATTGGAACCATGATAGCTGTTCTTACGTGACATTTAACAAGCAATACATATCATCGTCCTAGTTGGGCACGGCGGATCCGCTAGGCCTCCTGGGCAACCTCACGGACACCATTGAGGATCAAGACGAACTCACAGGGAGTGATATTGGAGACTTGGTGGACTTCCTTGATCCTTTGTTTGATAAATTTCTCGACATGCTCGGCAATTACTCCGATCCACTGAACAAAAGCCAGGACTTTCTGACCAACTTTACTCGAACCATGGATGAAGTCCTCATCTCCTTCAAAGGCTGGCTCGAGATAACACCGGTGAGAGATGCTTAACAGTCTGGGGGGAAACCCTATCCTAGAGATTCCTGCCTCGAAACAGTCTCATCGTTGACCTTTGTCGTGCATATGCGGCAAAAAAATTGGTGACAGATGAAAAGTAATGTTTATCCATAACAGGGGAAAGAATAAAATATGGCAGAAAATAATTTTTAAAAATTAATGAAGTGGCTGAGGAGACAAAGAAAACTGCGTTTACAGAAATAAAGAAAAAGTCGCACAAAAATAAAATTGCAATACATCGTAACATCTGTCACGAAACTTTTGCCGCACCCTGTATATTCGCGTCCAAAATACACCCTCCTAAGCCTGTAATAATGTCATGTTTGGTTAATGCAGAACTTCCATGCCAGCCAAATACTCTGTACTGTATTTGAAAGCACACCTTGACGTAAATGTAATTTATACCTGGTTTTGGAGAAGGGACGCATAACATATCCATGTGCAGCCGTGGCAAATATGATATTAAATTGGAATGTCAGAAACCTGTGCCGAAATTCAGCAAACCTGACAAGTTTTTGGAAAATCTTCCCCCCCCCCCCCCTCTCCATAGATGCTGCGAACCGAAAAGTTTACTTCTCTGACGTCAAACTTTGCCGAATCGAGCCTTCAGTTGTCACAAAAACTCTACCTTCTGAATAATACGGAACTGGAATTCCAGGAAGCAACGACGACCTTGGTAATAGAAATCGGCACTCGGAAAAAAGACAATTTGACCGGACCCGTCGTCTTTCCCTCATCTGTAAGCGACACATATCTAAGTCTGCCATCAAGTTTTCAGGATAATATCGACGATGACTACTACTCCTATGTCGGAGTGGTCTACCACGTCCAGGATCTAAATGAACTGCTACCGGGACACGAAAATTCGTGAGTTGAGATTAGTCCTCGTAAAATGCATTTTATTTAAAATCATTATTGTATCCAATACATGGTGATTTATCACAGCCGCCCCAAGTTTGAAGGACTGTAGATAATGATTAAAACGCATAAAATCGCATCTGATACCTAATTTTAATCATAATAATTTTCTGTAAAAGCAAAAGTGCGTATTTCACGCATTCTAAGTCATCTTACAGCCCCAAGTTTGAAGGACTGTAGATAATGATTAAAACGCATAAAATCGCATCTGATACCTAATTTTAATCATAATAATTTTCTGTAAAAGCAAAAGTGCGTATTTCACGCATTCTAAGTCATCTTACTGTCTCAACCTTTTGCTCTAAGCACTTTCACGCAGATCTGGCAACGCTTCGGAAAATCTTCCATTGCACGATGAAACTTTTCCTCCCAGCAATTTTCTGAAAAATCATCTCGTTTAACTCCTGAACGTTTCTTGGCTTTGTGGCATAAGCTCGTTCCTTCAGGTGTTCCCATTGACAAAACTCTGCAGTAGTAAGGTCTGTGGGCCTCGAAGGCCACTCAATCCAACAACCATTGAGATTCCCTTTAGGAATTGCACAAACTGGTGATGAATAATGTGCGAGAGCACCATCCAGTTGGTAAAGATGGTGTCTGTAATAATGTTCCTTAAACAGTGACTCCACCATTTATTTTAGTGCATTGCGATATGTCATGCTTCCCGCTCTTATTCGTCTCGCCTCGCTGCGAAAATGCCATAGTACGATTTGTGGACTTCCCTATGCCTTGGATGGACAGAGTTCTAGCTATCTCCCATGCCAAAAGCGGTTCCAACATTTTTTTTGAAAGATGAAGCGATTCACATTTTGTGTTCTCATGAGTGGAACTTGGACTTAGGTGCAGTGTGTAATGCACTGTGGCACCAAAAACAACTTACCTTTCAGATTTGGGGAACATAAAGTTGCGAACTCCAAGCTACTGAGCTTCTCATTGGGAATCAATGAGACTGTATACCTCACCGATCCAGCCACTTTGATATTTCGGAATGCCCGTTCGCCACAAAGTCCATGGTACAAGGATATTTGGCGAAACCTTCATGAAGGAGAGAAGCCATCCTTCCTTCGTCAGACTCATAAATGCGCCTTTTGGAACTTCAATGAAACGTAAGAAAATGCTAATTAATCAAAAATTCATTAAGAAAATGTTTTCCGCTGTTTCCGCTAAAATTGCCTCCAAAATATTTATGTTACAGAGGCTACTGGGATGATGAGGGTCTCCAAGAAGTATCTTCAGATGATGATGACACAATATGCCGAACGAAGCATTTCACCAATTTTGTCGTGCTGATGAGTGTACATGGCTACGTGGTGAGTCCATTTTTCTATTCCCCTTAGCCAAAACCACTCCAGAGCGATCATATCAGCCACACCATCGTCATTTCCGTATGTTGGAATTTATCACAGTTCCAAGAGAAGATAAGTAACTGTAAATTGGAATTATTGTACTCATTCATTATTCTGAGACGGCGAGCGGTGACTTTTCACAATAACCTACATGCAGGGTCGTGGTTGGATTTTGGAACTGCTTACGATGACGTTGCTGCCCAGTTCCATCATCTGCCTCGCAGTGGCGATCTTCATCTTTCAGAAGAGCAAGTAAGTTTCATGGAATGCCTGACTAAAAAGGTATTTCGTGCAAATCACATCCTTATATTATTGAAATTGAAATTTTCAGGAAATCCACGAGGGATCAAGATCTGACTTTAAATGTGCACCAGCAGCTGTGTTTCTGGCTACTGATAGGATTCCTTCTAGTATTTTTCGTCATCGACCGCCGCTTCTTCCTGCTATCATCGGTACAAAGCAGATCCTGAATGTTCTTATAAACTCGTGTGAGAGTATATTTATCATATTCTATTAATACAAATGCTAAAAAAGGCAACAGGTTAAAAAGAAAAGTGCGCGCCTTTTACAAATTATTTGTTCAGGATACAGATTGTTCAACAATAATTTAGTGTCCTAGAGGTGGGAGATCATAAGAGGTTTCTTATCTAAGCCGCTCTCATCTAGGTCCCTGCTACCTTAGCCTAATGTACGCGGCCTACAAGATCTGCCAATATCATTTCTAGGCCATAGGCTTGACCGAAAACCTGAGTACAGTCAATTCTGAGACACCCGATGAGTTTATACATGAATTGTCTTGTAAAATTATACTCGAGGACTTTTTGCCTAGCGTATGGCCTAGAATGGCGTAGCCTTGTAGGCCTCGCGCGTTATAGGGGGTTGTCGCAAATTCCCGATCCATTTTTTGGAAAGAAACGAAATATTGTGATAAATGCTTTATAGGTCGGTCATCATCGTATATACAGTGCATTTTAATGTAATTCAGCATGGCCAACTTCCATTTCGAAACACTGTTGCCAACGTTTCACTGTCGCTCGGAAAACCTTTTGTAACCTATCTGCTGTAATGGTCTCGGCTGCAGTGTAAATGCGATTTCTAAGATCTGGAATGTTATTAACCTTTTATCTGTACACCTTAGATTTGATGAAGCTCCACACAAAGAAATCTAAGGATGTCAAGTAGGGTTAACGTGGTTCCCATAGTCTTTGCGAACTTCTACCTATCCATCTGCCAGGAAATGCTTCATTGCGGTAGTCTCGCACGATTTTTGAAAAAATGGGGAGGTGCCCCATCCTGTTGAAAAACAACGGTATCAAAGATTCCATCATCCCTCAGTTGTGGCTCCAGAAACTGTTGTAATATATTTCCAGGTAGTTATTTCCAAAAACTTTTGTTTTTCTGAGAATATGAATAATTTTCAGTTTGTGTGAAACTCAACCAGACATTCACTTTTCGTGTGTCTCTTTGCCATTCATAGGTTGCATTTGGCTGCTCTTCAGCCCATATTCGCCACTTATGCTTGTTAACATGCCATGAAATGTGGCCTCATTGCTGAATAAAATGTTATGCATGGGGTTTGTGGTGTTTACGGCCTCAAGAAGGTCATAGCACATAGCTTGACGAGCTGCATAATCTTCAGCTTCTAATTTGTGGAGCACCTGAATGTGGTAAGGCCGTTTTTTTCAGCTTAGAATGTGAAAATTTTAAGACGGTATTTTTGGTATGCTAAATTCGTTACTTAGACGACGACTTGATGCACTCAGACTACGTTCGACAGCTTGTTGAACTCGTTCCACGGTGTCTTCAGATATGGATGGTTATCCGATGATACCCGAACGTTCCTCATCTTTGACACTTCCCGTTCTCTGAAATATGTTAACCAGTAGTCGGATATTAGCCCTAGTCGGACAGGGTTTTCCAAATTTTCGCGTAAACTCTTGTCGTATTTACTCGTATGTCAATCCATGTAAACGCGCGCTGACGATAGCCACCCTTTCCTCTACACCTAGCATTCGTCTAGTCCACCCTGAAACAAAAGAGAAAAATAAACCTTCTGGTATAAATGGATCGGGACTTCATGACCATCATACGCCATTCTGGGTTATATGGCCATATGGCTGGGTTTACAAACGTTTCAGTATTCTTTTGACCCGAGTTCTCGTAAAACGATCACAATGGCAACTATATACTTGTTCTAAAATATTCTGAATTTATAATTCAACATTTAATTATTCCTAATAAGCCCCAGTTTCTAATTTCACTCACCAGACTATGTAATTTGGCATGGCATGTCCCCCATTCACTGAACAAATCTATAAACAGGCTGCTTATCCCCTCCGCATCATGAGATCCTGGAAAGGGAACCCTTGTCTCGCAGATGAACTTTGGGGAAATAACTTTATGTCATGGTACAACTTCGTACAATACCCTCTGAAGATCATTGTCCCTCACAATAGGGAAGGGTACGTTATGCAATGCCATCATATCTCCAATGACTTTATACTTGTTGAAATGTCTTTCAACCGTGTCCCCATGGTGTCACTTTCTGGACATATTGCCTAATAGTCAGCTGCTTAGATGTCTCTACATCTTTATGTGCACATTTGCGATGGAAATTACGATTTACATAAGATCTTGTTTATACTCACAAGACTCGTTCTGTATATTCACTAAATGTCTCAATATTCTTTCCCATTTTCCCCTAGCCAGTTTACCACAAGTGATTTTGCGAAAGCAACTCGAATTTAAATTTTTACCTCATGAAATTTTTTTTTGCCCGAAATGCCATAGGCTTTATTTGTGCAGACCAATCTCGAACCAGTGCTCATATGTCTGTCCATCGACGTAATACCCTTTGCTAAAGGATTGATGGGTGAACAGTTTTGAGAGAATTTTCTGGTATGTGAAAGTATACAGGAAATGTGCGCCTATCGTTATTTCATAAAATGCGAGACAACTGGTTCACCCAGAGGAAGCGGTAGACCAAGATTAGCTGAAACTAAATTGAACTGCATTTTCGGAAGAAGACATTTCTTTTCAAAACGGTAATCCATGGATGCAAAGATTCCAACTGTGAGTTGCCTGACGATGGACGAACGAGAGGTCCGGTCAGTGTTTCCTGTAATGCAGAGGGGGAAAAGTTCAGACAAAATTGTCTTTCCTAGTCAGTGCCGCGGGTTTGAAGATCGGCGACGCGGTGCCACGGCAAGAATAATTTCGAGTTACTCCTTTAAAATTGCTTGTCTGGTATAACGGCTGGAGATGAACGAGGATAAAATGTAAGATTATAAAGGATGCATGTTAGTATATCAGGTTGGTACATAAGTCTTGTCGGAATTTTCACTTTTCGTTTTTTATTGAAAAAAAGAACATCAATCAACATTATATGTGCCATCATTATCTACAACGTATTCCCATCTCCGGGGCAAATCCATAATACCATCTTTATAGAATTGGGGGATTTCGACTTGAAAAAAGTTCGCAGGTCCTTTTCCAGCCGGTCACGATCATCAAAGCGTTTTTCCTTTAGATGGTTCTCTAGCGCCCGGAACAAGTAGTAATCCGAGGGTGCGAGGTCCGGCGAATACGGCGGATGAGGCAGGATTTCCCAGCGAAATTTCTCCAGTGTTTGACGAGTAGCCTTCGCCGTGTGTGGTTTGGCGTTGTCATGGAGTAGGCGAACTTTGCCTCGTCCC